ACCACAATGCCTCCCTGGCTTTACGAATCACACTCAAAAACTGGAAGTGTGCTCTCTATCCTAATCTTTGTCTTCTCTCTGTGTCTCTCCATGTATATATCTCTATAGCTTTGTATTTGTCTATTCATATAAATTAATATACAACTAAGTATACAATAGAATTTGAAGGTAAGTAACAAATGACTGGTCAAGCTAGAGAGAGAGAGAGAAAAAAAAAATATTTAGAAAATAACTCCAGCTCACTTCATCGGTATGTGGTGTAGATAGAACTGATACCTGAGATGATCAGGGAGTGAAGGTTGCGTCGGTTTCCATGTATATATTTGAATGTTTATGCATATGTACCCCTGTAACAAGAACCACCTTCTATGGTTGTCGGTACTTGACCTCCCTCTCTCAACTGAATCAGCTTTGGGACTGAAGTGGCCTTTCCATTGCCTGGTTCACTGGGGAGGAATGGCTAAATGGTTCCTACCTACATGCTGATCCTAGTAGTGGGATCGCACGCTTCCTGGTCCTCCCCAGGGGGTTTCATATACCTATGTGCTTGCCGTGTTTGGCACCCTTGTGTGCTGGTGAGATGGAAGTCCCAGAGGATGAGCAATGCCATGCATGAGTAAGCCCTGGAGCTAAAGACACAAAATATTTCAGCTTATTGGGCTTGTGCTGGAAACATTTCTGAAGGCTAAGGTCTACAATACTCAGGGTGATTTTAAGTGTCACCAAGGAAATTACGAAATCTTAGGCAGGAAAAGTGGTTGGAATGTGAGTTCTTTAGCCACCAGACATCCCTTACAGAGTGTATGAGATGAGTCACCATCTGCTCATCCCTCAGGAGCACACGCCATGACCCTTTGTCAGAGGCAGACAGGCTGGTGCTGGAGTTCTCTGGGAAAGCAAGAAGTCCCTGTCTGCCAGTTTTAACCAGGTAGGCTTCATATCAGAGACTGATCAGCCGAGCCTGATGACTCAGATGCCATGTATACTGTGGGGAAGCTGAAGAGTATATAAAAACAGTACTTGCTCAGCCCTGGATTGTGACGGCATCTCTCCAGCTCTGGAGTTAGAAAAGATTGACATATTCCCCATCCTAAAACCAAAGGAGCCGGGGTATCACTCCACAATTCTCTCCAGTTATCTGGGCAAGACGGCCGGGAGACTGGTACTAAACAAGGTCCAATGGAAATTTGACCACCATATGAACACCTCCATGGATTCATTAGGGGCATGTACGCACATGCCCTCCTCAGGGTATAGCTCACAGTGTGAACTATACCCTGAGAAGGGCATGTGCGTACATGCCATGCCCACTATTGGTTTAGTTTATTAATTGTCTTTACACATAGATGGCTACACAAGTACTGTCACCAATGAGCTTGCTATGAGTACTACATGTCTCACCTGTTTACTCTTTACCTCGATATATTTTCTGGTATCTAATATTGCTGTTAGTAATGTCAGAGACACAATAATTATGATATCTGTGATTCTAGCTTAGGGTTGAGGAGCCTTCTTAATTTGGGTCGTATACCGGTAAATTTGGAAAAAGGCGTTTTTCTAGATTCGTGTTACAGCAAAGAGTGTGATTCTCTTCATATCAAGGGTCGACTTCGGGTTACCGATTGTCACTTTAAACAATCTCCCCGATTCGTTGTCGTTCGGAAAATAGAATACCAGATTCGCGCCACTCTTCATATCAAGGGTCGAGTGGATCTCTACTGTAATACGTTACCGATTGTCACTTTACTGCGAGGGGCTCTGCCCCCCTGCAACCCCCGCCAAGGAAAACAAAGAATCCTCCAATATTCATGGCAGGAGAGAGCGTCGGACACATCCGGTATTGCGCGCTCCCATATGTCGATTCGTAGATACGAGAATTGGATATTGCAGGGGGCTGTGCCCCCTGCAACCCCCCTCGTCGGGAGGGCTGCCGGAAAACTAACAATCCTCCACGTATTTACGGCAGGAGAGAGCGTCGGACAGACCAGCCATTGGGCGCTCCCACATATCGGTCTTACACACGCGAAGTACTGTATGCACAGTAACTAGGGCAAAAGTAAACCTTACTACATACCTATGCAGTGGAAGGGCCTTTTCTCTGGAGTGGCCCGGCCTGTGTTAACTATTTCTAGTTAACTCAGATGTTTTCTTTGAACTGCATGCTTATCGCGGTGGCTGGATTGCAAGCAAGCGATCCAGCTGCCATGGAGAAAGCATGTTGCACACCCTTTTTATCAGCCCGGCGGCTGTGGTGGGTGGTCCCTGCCTCAGAAATTGTGTGTACACAATTCTGCAAGTAATGTAACAGGGTGGCGTTAGGCTCGCCGCAGTGTTTGCATAACCTCGCAGTCTCATTGTCAATAATTTGCCAAGCGCATTGGTAACCTAGTCTTAGTCTGAATAGTATGACTTCGGTACCTCTTTTTGTATTTGGAGGAAGGGCCAGTGGCTCATAGCCTGAAGCATCTGAGTACCACTTGGCAGCGAGCGATTTTGTGATGTTTTCTCTATGTGCTCCCCGGAGGACCACACACGCTGCAGCTTTGGTACCTTGGCTCAGTCCCCTTCGGCTGGGTTTAACGATCATGGAGGATGGGGGCATACCCCTGCCCTTTTCAGCTAGTTTATCAGCAAGCTCGTTCCCTTGTATGCCTATGTGGCTTGGGACCCAGTTTATGATGATTCTTCTACCTTGACTAAGGATTCTTTGGGCTATGTTTAGTACTGTTGTCAAGAGGTAGATGTTATCTGGGGGCATGCTATGCTGTAAGCTGTCAATAGTTGCTCTTGAGTCTGTATGAATGACAATGTGCCCTCCCCTCACGGACGCGTATGTCAATGTTTCCATGATCGCAACCGTTTCAGCCTGAAGCGTTGAGGCATTGTCAGTGACCTTATTGGATGCTATGGTATCCTTTGTTGCAAAGCCGGCGCCCGCAGTATGGTTCATTGGATCCACGGATCCGTCCGTGTAAGTTATACTACCCGGTGGAGTTATTTGTTCAATGACCCTTTGTGCTTGTGCCTTTAGGCTAGGCATGGAATATTGATATTTTCTCATTGTGAGATTTAGAATTGAAAATTCGATCATTTCGTTTGCCCACGGCGGGGGTTCTTTGTAATCAGGGTGAGGGGAGTCCATACCCTTGGCAAGCAATGAATCTTTTAGCTGAAAGTGTATAAAAACTCTGGCTATATGTGTGAGCCAGGAATTGTCTGCAAACAACTGGTAATCTTGTTGTAGGCGTCTGAGAACTCTTTGTCTTAAATAGGAGTTTGTGGGTGCTTGCAGGACCTTGGAAAGGAACTGTGCTGCCATTAGATCAATTCTAGTGTCCATGGACGGTAAATCAGCTTCCATAAGGAGGTTGATGACCTTTGTCCACTTAGGTGCACCTAGAATTATCCTGGTTGCTTCGTTTTGTATTGT